CGCACCACCCCCGCCCTACCCCAGCAAAGCCCAGGAAGGGAGCAAGAAGCCAGGGAGTGACTCCCAGCGATGAACAGCATACATTGTACTCCCAGTAACAAATCCCCTGCCTCTTCCTTGTGCCCACTGACATTCACTGTGCTTAGATCTGTTTCTGAAAATATCATTTTGAATTGCTAAAATAAACAAATTACCAATTCTGTTAACAAGGCCCCCAGTGATTCTTCAGATGATTCCCTAGCGGCCAAAGCCAAGAATGCTTCCTGGAGGGTCAGGCCCCAGAGTCCCTGCCCTGTGGTTGTTGCAGTCCCCTCCATGTGCCACAAGGGCTGGAACATGGCCTCTGACCACAAAAATGCTGTGCAACAATGATGAGGATGAGGGACTTGGCCCTCAGCCTAGCCCTAGCCCACACTCTAGCCCGCTTGTTGTTGTTGTTGTTGTTGTTGTTGCTGCTGCTGCTGTTTTTATTAGCCCTCAGTGTCCATCAGACAGGCCTCATGGGTCATTTAGTTGAATAACTAAGTAAACTGCACCCCTCCCAGGTCCCTGCAAACCCCCAAAGGGCAAACCGACTTCTTTTCATCCAGACTTTACGATCCAAAGAGGATGTGGGAAGACTCCAGTCTGTTCCTTCTGACAAGAAGGGAGCCACAGCTTCAGCGCCTCAAGGAGACGTTCACCACCCCATCAGCCTCGAGGTCCTCATCCGCAGAGACTCACCTCTTCCTCCCTGCAGTCTGAACCCCAGGAGAAGTTACAGAGACAGGTGTGTTTCACGAACCTCCCCAGAGGTCTAGTCGTCCAAAGCCATGGGAGATCGTGAGAGGATGGAGTTGGCTTGATAAACTCCGAGCGGAACCAGAACGTGTCCACTGCTTCTGCCTGTCTGAACTGCGTGTCTTGTCATCAGGTCTGCATGTGTGGACAACCTGGAAGCAACTCTAGTGGGGAGAACCTGAAACACACAGGCTCGAATGAAAGGGAGCTCCCCAGCCACCCAAGATGGCCAGGCTGAGAGGACGCTGAGTTCCCCTGGAGGCGGAACAACCTAGGAGGCCCATCGGCTAAGGTCGGTATTGTGTGTTGGAAATTCTGCTGGGTTCTACAAGAGCTGATTCAGAAAGCCAAGGTTGCCTGTTCTCTCCCCATTCTGTTCCTCCAAAATCCACACCCAACCCACCCGCCCCCACTCTGCCAGCCTCTGATCTGATAGCATTCAGGGGTCCTTGGCAATTCTTCCAGTCCCTCTTCACTGTGAGTTCATAAGCTGCTTTGTGGTGGGATGGAAGCTAGTGTATCTCAAGTGCATGCTATGTTTCTGGAAGTGCAGTATGTTAGCGTTCAGTCATCACAAACACAGACCAAGTTGAGGTTCTGAAAGGTTGGGGAACTGCACCAAGCTTCCTGACACATTCCAACCCACATTTTGCCTAGTTGATGTTTACCGCCCACTTTCAGGCCATTGGACTTCCCCACATCCTCCACCTCATTCTGCAAATTCCAGCCTTGCTCACCCCGAAGCCTGCCCACATCACTCCCAGCCTCAGCCACCCTATGGAAGCAAGTTGGTCCTTCAACAAAATTTTGAGGTCTTAAATGGCCACAGCCACATCTTATGCTATTTTTAACAAGAGTTGCTGAAGTATTTCGAGCAACAGTAATTGTTGAAATACTTTTGAACAACTGCAATTATTTCAAGAGTCTTTATTCAACTCTTTGAACAAATATTTTTCAACAGTGGCAGTTGTTCAAATGTGTATTGTTTGCCTGATATAAAAGTGAATATAGCCTCTACTCTCAGAAAGTATGATGTAATATGGAAGCCAGTTGGCCCTGTGGGGGAAAGGAAGACTTGGAAATATTGCTAGAGTTCTGTTAGCGTCTACATGCATGAATGAAAACCAACTGCAAGATTATAAACCAACTGCAAGATTCTTACACAAATAAGAATTCAATTGAGTAAGACAAGTCTGCCTAGAAAGGCTAAGCAAGATTTTTGCAGGATTATTGGCAGAAGCTTACAGCAGCTTTTCAATAGCCTCTGTAAGACCATTGGTCAAGGTCACCTCAATTAAGGGTTGCTAATAGATAAGTCTCTGAAGAAATCAAAAGGAAATCTGGAAGTTTGGGTGCGAACAGGAGAGGACTAGGTCGCACACAGTCCTGCCCATGGGAAGATGGTGGAAAGGGAATTAGGGAGGACAAGGAACTTCATTTGCTGAAAAGTAAAATCAGGCATTCAGCCTAAATTTAAAATGTTGAGCATGGCTTTAGGTATGCATGCCTCTACGGGATCAGCCTGTATGCAATAATATTCACTGCAGCTCAGAGATCGTGAACACTTGAATTTGTACAGAACTAGACCCCTTAGAAAGTCAAAAAGAAAGAGTACACAAATGATACTGCTGGGTGGAGAAATTCGAGTCCAGGGCCAAAAGCTGGCCTTACCAGATTAAACCTCAGGATGGGATCATGAGGTTATTTGATTCTGCCACCCCATCCGGACCCTGCCTTTTGGAGTTGTATGTTCTGACTTCTACAATAAACTCAAGATTAGCCTCATAAAGGGCATGGGTTGTCTAGAGTATTCTCCTACCATCCCATGTTCATAGCCCCAGCTCCAGGGAAGCACCCAGGGAAGAAGGAGGGTCCTGGGAGTTTCAGAAACTGACTGCTTTCTTCTAAGTCCGTGGTCTTCAATGGGTTGTGTATCCTCACAGGAAGTAAGGATTCTTCAGAGGGTTCACAGCAAAGCAAGCTGAAGGAAACTGATGTCCTCAACCTTAGTGTTCATATTGTCTCTGTCCTAAAATTGACATCCTGAGGACATGTCTGCTGGAAATGCTGAGCCCTCTTCTTATCTTCCCCTTCACAATTGCCCTTCTTTCACTTTTGCAAAGAAATGCATGCTTCTATGGAGGAGATGGAGGAAACAACAGATAACAGGCACCCAAATGCAGTTATGTAGGGGGAATAAGTGTTCTGTAGTATAGCAGGGTGGATGTAGTTTACACCAGTTTCTTATATATTTTGTAAAAAAACTAGGAGAGGCAATACAAATAATGACAAATGTTTAAGGAGATAGAAATGCTAATTACCTTGATTTGGTGATTGCACATCGAATACATTGTGTTATCACAAGTACCCCATAAATCTGTACAATTAAAAAAAAAAAGATGAATGTATGCTTCTACTCAAGCCTGAGTCTTACTGGAAGGCATTACAGCAGCATACAAAGACTTCCAGGCTCTCATACAGCGAAATAATTTGATAAATAAGTGTTGGAAAAATAAGAGACTTTAATAACTGCCTCTACCATCTCTTTAAATTCAAATAAAAATTTTTTACCAAATACGAGGATCTTTTCAAATGAACAGATGTTAAAGCGTTAAAAATAGTTTTTGATGACACACCACTGGGTGATTTTTGGCATAACTAAGAACTTGCTCAAGGAACTGAAAGATATTACCATAAAAAACTACTTGTGTCTGCATGTATTCGTTTATGTTAACAGGCTTTCTCAAATACTTTGTGCTATTTAGTGTAAAATATATTCACCAAAGGTCACTGCAATGAGTGGCCAAGGTACTTCAACTGATCCTTGTGTACTGGACAGAGCTTCCTAAAGCTGTCCATTATAATCAGATAAAGATGATTGTGATTTTAAGGATTTATTCTTTCACCTATTTGGAAGCTATGGCTACAGGGGAGAAACAGAGACAGGTCCTCCACCTACTGGCTCATTCCCCAAAGGGCTACAGCAGGTGTAGCTGGTCAGGTCAAAGTTAAGAGCCAAAAATTTCATTCAATCTCCCACATAAGTGCAGGAGCCCAACACCTGTTGAGCCATCCACTGTTGCTTTATTCTGAATGTTAGCAGGGAGTTGAATTGAAAGTGGGGGAGCTAATAAGAAGAAGAGGATCTGTAATACTGTATTTACAGCAGCACAATCTACAATAGCAAAGACATGGAAACAATTCAGATCCCCGTCTGCTCCGTGGACTATTACTCAGCCACTAAAAAGAATAAAATTATACCATTTGCAACTAGATGGTCCCAAATGGACCATTATGCTCAATGAAATAAATCAATCCCAAAAGGACAAGTATGTTCTCTCTAATATAAGGAAACCATCATGGAGGAAGAAAGAAAGAAAGAAAGAAAGAAAGAAAGAAAGAAAGAAAGAAAGAAAGAAAGAAAGAAAGAAAGAAAGAAAGAAAGCTAGAACACAAGCCAGCACCCATATGGGATGCCAGCATTACAGGCAGTAGCTTAACTCACTATGCCACAATGACAGCCCCAAGATTATTCCCTTTTCTAAGCAAGTTCACATAGATTCTTCCTATGCTCCCTGACACATACCTGCACCAAGATCTGTCTCCAGGGCCTGGCACAATAGCCTAGTGGCTAAATCCTCACCTTGTATATACCAGAATCTCATATGTGTGCCAGTTCATATCCTGGCTGCTCCATTTCCCATCCAACTCCCTCCTTGTGGCCTAAGAAAGCAGCAGAGGGTAGCTCAAAGCTTTGGGACCCTGCATCTGCATGGGAAGTACAGAAGAAGCTCTTGGCTCCTGAATTCAGATCGGTTCAGCTGTAGCTGTTGTGGCTACTTGGGGAGTGAACCAGCGGATGGAATTTTTCTGTCTCTCCTTCTCTCCCTAAATCTGTCTTTCCAGTAGAAAAATAAAAATAAAAATAAACTTATATTAAAAAAAAAAAAAAACGATTTGTCTCCAGACAGGAAGCTTAGGAAAGATGTATTCATGGTCAGACTACTACATTGTGACGTCAAAGATCTTCAATACCAAACCTTGGCTGGGCTGGTGAGTCAGAGGCCCACAGAGAATAGAACTGCCCAACGGAACAGTGAACAGGAAGCACATTAGAGCCCTGTCTAGGGAGCTTACAATGTTCTCTCATTGTACAGAGCACAGTGATGTATAGACTTAAGTCATGCTGATTGAGCGATCATCAACTGTCACCCCTGCAGATGACTCCAAGGGAGCTAACCCTTGCCACCGGCAACCACACCCCAGTCACAACATTCATCCTGCTGGGATTCTCTGATCACCCGGACATCCAGGAGCTTCTCTTTGGAATATTCCTGCTCATCTACATCCTGACACTGCTGGGCAACCTGGGCATGATCTCACTCATCTTCACAGACTCCCGGCTCCATAACCCCATGTATTTTTTCCTCAGTGCTCTCTCTTTTCTCGATATTTGCTATTCTTCTGTGGTCACACCCAAGCTCTTGGTCAACTTTCTGGCCTCTGACAAGTCCATCTCTTTCAAGGGTTGTGTGGCCCAGCTGACATTCTTTGTGGTGCATGTGACAGCTGAAAGCTTCCTGCTGGCCTCCATGGCCTATGACCGCTTTGTGGCCATCTGCCGCCCCCTCCATTACAGTTCTACGATGACCAAGAGGGTCTGTCTCCAGCTGGTGGCTGCTTGCTATGCATTTGGAGGAGCCAACTCTGCTATCCAAACTGGGAATGTCTTTGCCCTGCCTTTCTGCGGGCCCAATCAGGTGATACACTACTTCTGTGACATCCCACCCCTTCTGCGCCTGGCCTGTGCCAACACAGCCACAGCAGAGATGGTCCTCTACATGTTCTCTGCTCTCGTGACCCTTGTGCCTGCCATAGTCATCCTTATCTCCTACAGCTTTGTACTGGTGGCAATTGGGAAGATGCGCTCAACAGCTGGGCGGAAGAAGGCCTTCTCCACGTGTGCCTCCCACTTTCTGGCCATTGCCATCTTCTATGGCACCGTGGTGTTCACCTATGTCCAGCCCCATGGATCCACTGATGACAGTAACAGCCAAGTAGTGTCTGTCTTCTACACCATCATAATCCCCATGCTCAATCCCTTCATCTACAGCCTCCGCAACAAGGAGGTGAAGGCTGCCCTACAGAGAAAGCTCCAAGTCAGCATCTTTCCCTGCTGAACCTTGTAAGGCTGCCGATTAAAATGAAGAAGGCAGAACTGACACAGCGGTTTAGTAAGCTAATCTTTTTCATCCAGTGCCAGCATCCCATAGGAGCACTGGTTTGAATCCTGGCTGCCCCACTTTCACTGCAGCTCCCTGTCTAAGGCCTAGGAAAGCAGTAGAGGATGGTTCAAATCCTTAGGTCCCTGCACCCACATGGGAGATCCAGAAAAAGCTCTTTACTTCTGGCTTCAGACTGGCTCAGCTCTGGCCATTGTGGCCATTTGGGGAGTTAACCAGTAGCTCAAAGATCGATCTCTGCCTGTCTTTCCTTCTCTCTCTGCACATCTGCCTCCCAGATGAAAATAAAATTTTAAACTGAGGATGGCAAAGCTTCTTCCAAATTAAATTGTTTTGCCCTGTGTCAGGTTTATTTGCACCAGCAGCACAAGAGGCCACTAATCCCATGCAGACAGCAGCCCAGGAGTCACTAGAGTTCTTCCATCCTGGGTTGGCACTCAGAGGTTGTTCTACAGAGTATATATGGGGAGCTGTACAATGGTGGGGAGAACCTGAGCCAGAACTAGAGCTGCAGGTGCAGTGCAGCCTGGGCCTGGGCCTTATTCTAGGGTGTGGTTTGGACTTGGGTCTTGAACTTGATTTGAGTGTTGGCCTTTCCCTTGAGTTGAGTCTCATTCTGATGAACCTTGATCCTGGCACCGTTTTTGGATTGGGTGCATAAATTCCTTAAGCTTCACAGACTTTGGTGGCCTTAGCACACGAGCTCACAGCCTTGGCTTTGTTGGCCTGTGTCTTCTTCAGGCTCTTCTTGTTGTGCTTCCTGGTCCTCGGGAACTGCAGGCTCACCCTACAAAGAGATTCTTACCTTCGTGCTTAGAGTTGCTTGATGCCATTTCTGTGCCATTTGGGGGACCGGTTGTGCATAGTGTGATTCTTGGCTTGGCTTGGCTGTATCCACACTTAACTTGAGGGTTCCTGGGACTGGAAAAAGAGTCAAGTAACATAATGAATGGACCTAACTAGGAGTAGCCCTGGTTTTGAAGGAAGGAGAAGTAAGGGGAAAGAACAACTGCAGTATTTCGCATGCATTACAGTTAATAAAGCATGCTGTTATTCGTTATCAGACCGAACCCCCACCATCACGGTATGAGGCAGCATTGGCCCAGTGATCTCACCTTACAAAGGAGACACATAGTTCAGTAGAAATTAATAACTAAGTCGGTCGTCAACAGCAGGGCGCCCACATCCAGACTGAGGACATTTTAATCACAGCACAGCCACAACACACTGACTTCTGTTTTGCTACTGATTTAGTGAAGTGTGAGTGGGCAGCAAGTGACTCAGTTCTCTGTTCCTGCTCCAAAGAAGAAAGCCACCCAGGGTACAGACATCCTTAATTTTTTTTTTTTTGTCACAACTGCCTTTTGTAATCTGTTTCATGCAAACCTCAGAATCAAGAAAGACTTTTGCTGAAGATCTGTTTGCCAGCAAGCTGCATGTGCATGTCTCCTAATTGTCAAGGATAGCACTGTGCACGGGGTGTATGCCAGCATGACAGAGGACATGAACATGTGCACGCACACATAGGTGCATGTATGTGCAATGTTCAGGCAAGAGAGTGGCCTTCAAAATATTTTTAGATTTGGCTTGAGTATCTTTCTTCTAACTTATCTTGAAAAGCAGAAAGACATGGACAGACGGATCAACAGAGACCTCCATCTACAGATTCACTCTCTAAATATCCACAACAATTGGTGCTGGGTAAAACCAAAGCCAGGAGCCAGAAATTCAGCCACGATCTCTCATTTAGGAGGGCAGAAGAGATGCAGTCGTTTGAGCCATCGCTTGCTGCCTCCCAGTGTGTCCTAGCAGGAACCCTGAAGAGCAGCAGTTCCAGGATTTGAACTTAGACACTCCAATACATGTGTCCCAAGAAGTATCATCACCATTACACCAAATGCCCAGCGCTGACCTAAGTATTTTTAAATATGCATGCAGTTATAGTAAGTGTGTATGGTCTGGAGACGCAGACAAATGAGAAACTGAACATAAAGACATTAATTTATGATTAAACACTAGCTTGAAAAGCATGCTTTCAAATTAATACAAAACCATAATCTGAACTGAATTGACTTTAGCCCTATATTTTGGAGTATTTTTAAAGTTTTCTAAGATATATCTTCATAACATTATTATAAATACAGAAAATCTTGCTGAACAAACAGATCAGAAGCCAGAATTGTGATGCAAAAGGTAAAGTCGCTGCTTATAAGACCACATTCCTTATTGGAGTGCCAGTTCAAGTTCTAGTTGCTCCACTTCCAATCCAACTTCTTGCTAATCAGCCTATGAGGCAGCAGATGATGACTCAAAGGTTTGGACCTCTGACACTGTGTACTTGTTTGAGATGGATTTCTGGGCTTATGGCTTTGGAAATGAAACAAGCTAAGCAGGATGAACAAGTCTAGCAAAGCGTGGGATACAGGTGATAATGGTGCACTGCATTCATGATCATTTACTTGGTTATTTGAAAGACACAGTGACAGAGAGACAAAAAGAGAAAGACAAAAAATAGTTATTACATCTGCTTGCTCACTCTCCCAAAGCTCACAGTAGCCAACTCTGGACCAAGTCAAAAGTTAGAATTTCAGTTGGGTCTCCCATCTGGGTGGCAGGGACAATAATACTTAGACCATTACCTGCTGCCTTCCATATGCTTTGGGCATTGTGGCCATTGGAGAGTGAGCCAGCAGATAGAGGATCTCTCTTTCTGTAAATCTGCTTAAAAATAAAATAAATCGGGCCCAGCATGGTGGCCTAGTGGCTAAAGTCCTTGCCTTGAATAAGCTAGGATCCCATACTGGCGCTGATTCTAATCCCGGCAGCCTTGCTTCCCATCCAGCTCCCTGCTTGTGGTCTGGGAAAGTAGTTGAGAACAGCCCAAGACCCTGGGACCCTGCACCCATGTGTGAGACCCAGATGAAGCTCAGGGCTCCTGGCTTCAGATCGGCTCAGTTTTGGCCATTGCAGTCATTTGGGAAGTGAATCATCGGACAGAAGATCTTTCTCTCTGTCTCTCCTCCTCTCTGTATATCTGAGTTTGCAATAAAAAAAAAATAATAAAATAATCTTAGAAATAAAAATAAAATAAATCTGGGGGAGAAAAAGGAAAGAAAGCAAAAGAAAGAAAGGCAGAGTGACAGAGGTAAAGGGAAAGACAGAAAAAAAGATATCTTCTAAAGGCTGGTTCACTCCCTAAATAGCTGCAACAGCTGGAGATGGGCCAAGCTGAAGCCGGAAGCCTGGAATTATATTCATGTCTCTCACGAGGGTGGCAGAGATCCAAACATTTGGGCCGTCAACAGCTGCCTGTCAGGGGCATTAGCAGGAAGTTGGATAGGAAACAGAGCAGCCAGCACTCACACAAATGCTCCTCTGTGATGCTGGCTTCACAGGTGTTGACTCAGCCCTCTGCACCCCAACACTGGCCCCTCAAAAACGGTTTCAATCAGCACAGGTAACCTTGATACTTCAGTCTTAAAACTGAATAATGTTAAAAGCTTATAGCACATGCTTGGAGTGATTATTAAGACACCTGCAACTCACATTGAAGTACCTGGGTTCAAGTCCCTGCTCCTCCTGATTCTGATGTCCTGTTCATCTTTCTCTGTCTTTCTCTGTCTTTCTCTCTCTCTCTCTCTCTCTATCTCTCTCTCTCAGGCTAAATACATAAGTATACTTTAAGAATTTTCCAGGAAACAATGTCAAAATTGTTCACTTTTATCTTCTTTCATTTGGAAAATATTTAATAAACGCTTCCTATGCTCCATGTCTTTTAACTTATGAGCTACATCATTCGTATGTGCTTATAACAGAAGTCAGAGCTCGAAGAGCAGGCTAGCATTGCAGCTCAAAAATTTAAGCCACCTCTTGCAACTCCAGCATCCAACATTGGAGTGCCAGCTCGGAGTCCCACCTGCTCTGTTTCTGACCCAGCTCCCTGTAAATGCACCTCAAAAAGTAAAGGATAATGGCCCGAGTGCTTGGACTTCTGTCACCCCTGCAGGAGCCCTTGATGCAGTTCCAGACTCCTGGCTTTGGCCTGGCCCAGCCTGGCTATTGCAGTCATTTGAGGAATTAACCAATGGGTAGAAGATCTCGCTCACTCTTTGCCTCTTAAATAAAGTAACACAAAATAAAATTTTCAAAAAGTACAGAATCGATTAAAAATCATTTATTTGGGGCCCGGCGCGGTGGCGCAAGTGGTTAAGGTCCTCGCCTAGCACGCCCGGGATCCCATATGGGCGCCGGTTCTAGTCCCGGCAGCCCCGCTTCCCTTCCAGCTCCCTGCCTGTGGCCTGGGAAGGCAGTCGAGGACGGCCCAAAGCTTTGGGAACCTGCACCCGCGTGGGAGACCCGGAAGAGGCTCCTGGCTTCGGATCGGCATAGTATCGGCCCGTTGCGCTCACTTGGGGAGTGAATCATCGGACGGAAGATCTTCCTCTCTGTCTCTCCTCTCTGTATATCCGCCTTTCCAATGAGAAAATAATAAAAATAAATCTTTAAAAAAAAAAATCATTTATTTGGAAAATTATTTATGTGGTATTAATTACAACATAGTGTGTTAGGCCCAAACAGCATTAGTGGCCAGAACACACATTAGGTAGAGAGTTTTGCTCTAATGAACCACCAAGCGTCAGTGACTTATCGCTTAGGGTCAATTTGAGACACATCACTTGATATTCCAGGGTCACTTGTTCATCTCAATGATGCAGAACCTGGACCCCTTCCATATTTAATGTCACCATCACAACCTGTACCCCAAATCTAAGACCTAACAGGAAAAGGATCAAAAGCATATAGTATTTTTAAACTTTATTATTTATTTTTATTTGAAAGCCAGATTTACAGAAAGGACAGAGATCTTTCCATTTCTTACTTTACCCCTCAAATGGCTGCAACAGACAGAGCTGAGCCAATCTGAAGCCAGGAGTCAGG